GCCAGCCCCCCAACCCCCCATCCCAGGGCCGGGGCGGGCCGGGGAAGGTAATGTAATTCCGACCCAGCTAACCCGATTATGGCGGCCTGCACCGGGCCGGGTGGCGGCAGGGGCGGGTCTAAGGCGCAGGGGCCCGGCCGGCCCGGGGTCCCATTCCGGGGAAGGATGCAGAGTTCACACACTCTCAGCTCCTGGGTCCGCAGCCAGAGGTCACAAGGTCACCGAGCGGCTTCGTCTTTCCCTACCTCCCTTCTCTGACACGCTCCAGGCACGGTTTCCTGGGCTTGGGTGGGGTGAAGCATCTATGCTAAATGAGGCGGTTGGGATCCTCTGAAGACTTCGGTGAGGTCCCACATGTCGCCTGTGGCGATTTCGTCCTCCCGTCTTTGGAGGGGCCAGAGTGTGTGAAAATAGACTTCCTAGGCACAGGGGCAGAGTCTTGCGTTGGTCGTCCCCATTCGGGGGCTGAACGCCAGCCCCAAGTCCTCACCGACATGAGTTGACCCGGTTCAGCCACTGGTCCTTTTTACACCGATTTCAGAAAATCAAAATTCTAAGAAACACTGGGCACCCATTACTGACGCTCCCGTAAGGAGCTAGGGGCCCTACGGGAGAGGCCGGGATGTGCACCAGGATCACTGGCTCAGAGCAGTTGTTCCCCGCCCTAGCCCACCAGACGCTCTGCCACCGCCTTCCCACACTTGTCCTCTTTCCGGGCCTCCAACTCGCCGGTGCCGTTCCCTAGCCACTTTCCATCGCAGCCAGAAAGTCACAACGAGATTTAGTCTCCAAGAGCGTTTAGGCGGGGGCCACAACGAATCTGAGAGTCGTCAGGCAGGACCCATCGGGAGGCGAAGAGTGGGGGCAGTGGGACGAGGCACCTGCTGAAGTCGGTGAGGCCGAGGAAGCCCAAAGACAGAAGCCAGCGAGGATGGAGTTGCCTTGCGCATCTCGGCTGACTCAGCGCTCAATGGCCCAAGCTCGGGCCCCTCCCGTGCATAGCCTGGTTCAAAACACCATCGCCACCTCCCCCCCACAACACTCCCACCGTTCCCGCGGGCCAGTCTTCCCCGCGCTGGGCGCAAACAGGAGTCTCTTCCCCTTTAACGGGACCGGCCCCGCCCCTGCCCTACCCCCAGCCCCGACTGCCCACCCAAGGCTGATCTGTCAGTCACAGCCCCAGCCGGAGCCGGCTAACCCTCTCCACCTCGGACTCGGGCAGAGGCCCCAGCAGCCCAGCGTCCACCTTCACTTCAAAGCTAGGAAGGGCGCTCCTGGGGCCCCGGTCAGTCGCGCTCCCCCGGGATGCGAGTTCCTCAGCCGACGCCCGGCAGAGGCCGGCACGGGCGCGGTAACTCCCAGCACACAGGGATGAAGATGTCCTGGGGGCCCCGGCGCCTCTCCGCGGCCAGTCCCGCGGGCCCCTGAGGCCACCGCCCGGAGAGCTCCGCTGCTGGGCACCAGAGCTGTTTGGGCGCAGTCCCCAACCGCCAAACCTCTTGCAGTCCTCCTTGACCCGGACCCATGGAGCCGGCGGTGCTGGCATCGCACAACCTCCCTCACCACGAGCCAATCAGCTTCGGCATCGATCAGATCCTGAGCTGCCCGGAACCCCCCGGGAGCGGCCTAGGCCTGGGTCGCGCCGGCCAGGGCCATGGGGAGAGTGCGGCGTTCTCGGGTGGATTTCACGGAGCCTCGAGCTACGGCCCCGCGGGCTCGCTGACCCCGCTACCAGGCAGCTCTGGTGTGGGCCCGGGAGGCGTGATCCGCGTCCCAGCGCACCGCCCGCTGCCAGTGCAGCCGCCCGCGGGAGGCGCGCCTGCGGTTCCTGGGCCCTCAA